CCTCTCCCTGCTTCCCACCTCACTGCTTGTGGGGGTGGCCTGCGTTCCCTCTCTTCACCTGGCTCCTTGCGGTTGAATCCTTGATCTGTTCCTATTCCCTTTGCCTTTTCTGTCCTCTCCCTGCTTCCCACCTCACTGTTTGTGGGGGGTGGCCTGGGTTCCCTCTCTTCACCTGGCTCCTTGCGGCTGACTCCTTGAACTGTTCCAGTCCCCTTTGCCTTTTCTGTCCTCTCCCTGCCTCCCACCTCGCTGCCTGTTCTTAGGTCCCTGGAATCCAAATGAGAATGCTATCATTTTAAAATCCAAAATGGTTGTCATTTGTAAACATTGAAAATGGCTGCGCCCTCAGTCACTTTAAATATCCAAGGGACATTCCTCAACATAATAAAGGGTATATATGCAAAACCAACAGCCAACATTATTCTCAATGGAGAGAGACTGAAACCATTCTCCTTATGAACAGGAATCAGATAAGGATGCCCTCTATCACCATTTCTATTCAACATTGTATTGGAAGTCCTAGACAGCACAATAACGCAAGAAAGGCAAATCAAAAGCATCCAAATTGGTAATGAAGAAGTAAAACTATCCGTATTTGTTAATGATATGATCCTATACCTAGAAAACCCAAGAGACTCAGTCAAAAATCTACTGGAACTGATTGAGAGATTCAGCATTGTGGCAGGATACAAGATCGACATGCAAAAATCAGTTGGATTCCTCTACACCAGCAAAGAGATTGCTGAAAAAGAAATAAGGAAATCAATACCATTTACAATAGCTCTGGTAGTTTAGTGCCCAAGGCACTTGACTGCTAACCAGAAGGCTGGCAATTCATACCCTCCAGCAACTCCTTGGAAGGATGGTTCGGTGATTGACTTCCGTAGTGATACCACCTAGGAAACCCAAGGAGGGGTTACTATGAGTCGGGTCCAACTCAACAGAATATAACAACAACAACAAAGTAAATAAATAAATAAAATACTTGGGAATAAATCTTACCAATGACACAAAAGACCTGTACAAAGAAAACCATAAAAGACTACATCAAGAAACCATAAGAGATCTACATAAATGGAAGAATATCCCATGCTCGTGGATAGGAAGATTGAACATGGTGAAAATGTCAGTTCTACTCAAAGCAATCTATACAGTCAATGCAATCTCAATCCAGATCCCATCAACATTCTTTTAAGGATATGGAAAAACAAATCACTAACTTTATATGGAAAGGAAAGAGACCTCGGATAAGCAAAGCACTATTGAAGAAAAAGAACAAAGTAGGAGGTCTCACACTGCCGGATCTCAAAACCTATTATACAGACACAGTAGTCAAAACTGCCTGGTATTGCTATAATAACAGATACACAGACCAATGGAACGGAACTGAGAACCCAGAAATAGATCTTTGTCAGCTGATCTTTGACAAAGGGCCGAAATCCATTAAAGAGGAAGAGAATGTTTATTTAATAAATGGTGCTGGCAAAACTGGATATCCATTTGCAGAAAAATGAAACAAGATCTGTACCTCAGACAACACACAAAAACTAACTCTAGATGCATCAGAGACTTAAATGTGAAACCTAAAACTATAGAGCTCCTCAAGGAAAATCTAGGGGCAGATATCAAAACCAAACTCACTGTCCCCAAGCCAATTTCAACTCATAGCCACCACTCCTGACTTTCCGAGGCGGTATCACTACAGAAGTAGATTACCCAACCTCGCTTCTGAGAAGTGGCTGGTGTGTTTGAACTGTCAGCCTTCTGGTTAGCAGTCAAATGCCATTGGCACTACACCACCAATAAATGGCATAAATAGACTATCAAGCATAACCCAAAATGCACAAATCGCAGAAGAGAAACTAGACGAATGGGACCTTATAAAAATTAAATTTTTATGTGCTTATAAAGACTTCTTCAAAAGAGTAAAAAGAGAACCTACAGATTGTGAAAAAATATTCGGCAATGATATATCTGACAAGGGACTTATCTCTAAAATTTATAGAAAACTCCAACACCTCAACAACAAAAAGACAAATAACCCAATTTAAAAAATGGGCAGAAGACATGAATAGACACTTCATCAAAGAGGATACTCAGGAGGCCAACAAACATATGAAGAAATGTTCACAATCATTAGCCATTACAGAGAAGCAAATCAAAACAATGACATACCATCTTGCCCCAGCACTAGTAGCAAAGTTCAACAGGACAGAAAATAACAAATGCTGGTGAGAATGCAGAGATTGGGACTCTCATACACTACAGGTGGGACTGTCAAATGGTACAACCACTGTGGAAAGCAGTATGGTGATTCCTTAAGTTGGAATTAGAAAAACCATTTGACCCAACCATCCCATTACCAGGTATACATCCTAAACAAGTGAGAGCCATGACAAGAACAGACATATGCACACCCATGTTCAATGCACCACTATTTACAACAGCCAAAAGATGGAAACAACCTAGGTGTCCATCAACTGAGGAATGGATAACCAAACTATGGTACATGTACACAATGGAATACTATGTAACCCTAAAAAATAATGTAGAATCTGTAAAACACTGCATAACATGGATGAACTTGGAGGACATTATGCTGAGTTAAATAAGTCAATCACAGAAGGACAACTATTGTATTAGTCTGTTATTGTAAAAAGTCAAGGAAAGGTTATATATGGAAGGAAATTTTCTTTGTTGGTTACCAAGGGTGGGACAGGAGGGGAAGGAACACTGTTAGATAGATATAGATAAGTACTGATTTGGGTGAAGGGAAGGGCAATGTTTCAAATGTGAATGATCAACACGGTGGCATTGAGGAAGAAGACATAGAGAGGTGCATGGAAAGTACAGACAACAAAGATGAACCCTTTTGCGCATACAGTACTGCATTGTCAGTGAAGGCAAACACGGGTATACAGGTGGAGAGATGGGCAGACAGGCTGAACTATTAGGTATGCCTGTGCGGGGGGGAGTGTGCCCAAGACCATGCATAAGGTTAGCAGACAATGTTTCTACAAGTGTATTGCTATGTTCTGTAAGAATTCCCAGGTGTAGAGTAGAGCTGACTAGGGACAAGGTTGTACTCACTTCTTGGCCCAGCCAGCTACCCAGAGGGAGTGAGTAGTTGAACCTGTGGGCTATGGACCATAGTCACAGGGGAACTCAAGCTCTAGTGGCATAATATACTACACATAACATTGTTCCACATCCTACTTTGGCGAATAACACCTGGGATCTCAAAAGCTGCAAGCAGCCATCTAGATGCACTGATGGGTCTCTCCTCATCCAGAGCAAAGAAGAATGAAGAAAACCAAAGATTCATGGAAACAAGCAACTGGTACACCATATGATCCTCAAGCCTATATGATTGTGAGATCATAAGAACTAGATGGTGTCCAGCTAATACTGTCAACCACTCAGAGAGGATCCTTGTAGGAGATCCTGGGTAGAGTGGGAGAACAATGTGGAACAAAACTCAAAACAATTAGGGGGAAAAAAAAAAGGGACCAGGTTTGCTGGTCTGATAGAGCCTGACGGAACCAATGAGACGATGGCCCCTAGCTGCCCTTCAGGTCTGGAATTGAACCCACACCTGTGGCTGCTAGCCAAACAAAAGACAGGCATATGAGTTGAACATTTACCTGAGGTAGATACAGTCCTTGGAAAGAACAATCATGGGAGAATAGAAGGTCTGTGAATGCACAGGGACATAGCTCAGGGGTCAGGAGTACATGAAGGGAAGGACAAGTGAAAAGGTAACTGTGTGGAAGAAGTGGGAAGGGAGCTGTGCACTGTGGTAAACTGTAGTCAATGTTATGAGACAAAGTATATGTGAACTGCTGCATGGAAAATGAACTTGCTCTGTAAACTTTCACCCAAAACACACACACACACAAAATACACATACACACAGATATATACATACATACTAAGGGCTATAGGAATACAAATAAGGTTGTTGACTAAAATATGGTCCATAATCTTTAGGAAAAGAGATGATTCTGAAGGTATAGCTTTTTATTTGGAGAAATGGGCTTAGTTGTCCTTGGGAAATATCCTTGGTGAATATCAATATGAGTTTTTAAGATTACAAAAGAAATAATGCTACTATAGATCCAACCAGGGAGTCACAAATTATTTTCAATGTACTTTACAATTTCCTGATAAGATAGTTAAGTGATATATACTTATAAATTAAAAAAAAAAAAAAATTCAAACCCAGTTATTCAGTATTTCTAAAAAATAATAATAAGAAGGAAAGATTTCTTTGAATTTGGGACTCATATTATTGGGTTTATTTTTATTTTTATTGCTCACCTTTTGCTTCAGCCCCAACCTGAAATGTGTACATTAAAGATAAGCATAGCTGGAGATGATGAAAACCATGACTTAAAACAATAATTATATTATGCTCTAATGTACATCAGAATTACCCAACGTGTTTAAGTACAGACTACGTGACCCTAATCCCAGAGATTCAATTCCACAGATCGAAGTCACTCTCAAGAACCTGTACTTTTATACAGAATACATTTTTGTGAATCGCTGATCTTCTGAATTATCACTGACGCAGGATTAGTGTTCCTATTTTCCATACTACCTCTGTCATTGTCAAAAGTGCCAGAACTATCATTTGTTTTGATCTTTCTGGTGTAAAACTATACACCGACAGCCCTGGTACATGTTCTTGAACTATATACACTCATTTTTGTACCCATTACCCACTAGACAGAAGAATGAATGGTTAGAATCATTAATGGTTAGACAAAAGTAGATAGATACAGATGGATTAATTTATCCATTCATTTACCTGATACATACTAAAACAATTAGGTATCTTGTCTATGAATCAGAAAGTGATTCAAGAGCACTAACATTTTTCACATCCAGTATACACCCTTAAATTGTTCTGAAAAATCAAGAGAAAGCTACTATTGACAGAAATTTCTGAAAGGTTCCTACAAGATCTGAATTATTCACAATAGTAGTTAGCTTACCTGCCGTCCCGCTGAGCAGCACCACCTTCTGTTACTGTCTTGACAAATATTCCCAGTTTTTCAAGTCCAGCATCTGCTCCAACACCCATTCCAATAATACTTATACCAAGTCCATCGTCATCTAAAAAAAAAAAAAGGAAATAAATACAACAATCTAGGTTTTACAGTAGTTCACAATTAACTGGTGAGGTCTATTTTGCCACTTCTGACATTTTTTCTTCTTTATATATATTTGCTCTGGCAGATTTTTTTTATATTGGGGAGCAAGGATATCAAATGAGACTCCCCAAAAAATACCTGAAGTCAGCTTCATATTTACTATTACTGTCGGCAATTCATGATGATTCCCAAAAAAGGTAATAATCTGGCTACTGAATAATAAATCTTCTTAAAACACAGGCTTTCTAAATAATAGTATGAATTACTTTAGCCATACACACACACACACACACACAATTTTAAACACATATGATCATATCCAAAATTTCCCCTTTATTCATGTGGACTGCTTTTTCACTTGTCCCACACTTTTTAAGAAAATGGTACATTACTTTTTCAGTACTATCCTCTAGGCTACTATACAAAAACTTATCTTCAACTGAAAGGAGCTCTGGTGGTGCAATGCTTAAGGTTAGCAGCTCGAACTCACCCAGCAACTCTGAAGGAGAAAAGGCCTGGCAATCTGCTGCCATAAAGATTACATACAGCCTAGAGAGCCTCATGGGGCTGTTCTATTCTGTCACAGAGGTTCACCAGGAGTTGAAAATAGGCTCTACAGCATCTTACAAAAACACCACCATAATATATGCACGTGTGTATTATACCCAAAACCAAAACCAATCCCACTGCTATCTGAACAATTCTGACTCACAGTGACCCTGTAGAACAGAGTAGAACCACTGTCAATCTTTACAGACGCAGACTACCACATCTTCCTCCCACAATGAATGGTTCAAACCACTGACCCTGGGGTTAGCAACCCAGTTAGAGGGCTTGTTTTTACTTCCTATTTGCTTTACACAAACAAGATTATGTAATATGTACTTCTTTGCAACTAACTTTCCTAATTCAATTATCTCAGGAATATCAGATTAGGTAGCTCTAAATTATGTTTAGTGACTGGATAGCTTTCATGGTGATATGGAAGCATAACTTATCCAACCATTTCTCTACTGCCTTACATGTATGTACTCATTTGTTTCCATTTTATTGGCTCTGTAAGCAATACTGATAAATGTGTTTTTTTTATTACCTTTTAAATCATGTGTTTATTTATCCATATATCCAAATGTCCCTCCCATAAATATGTATTTTAACATCAATGAAGTAAAAGATTCCACATCTCTTGGTTAACACCCTAAGTTATTTTCTGATAACCTCAGTCTTTGCAGTCATGGTTTATGATGAGAGAAAAATTAAAAAAAGAAAAGGATACTGCTTAACTTATCAACAATAATTATTACAGGAAAACTAGCCCATGTACTCGGTAGAATGTTTCAGGCATTAATGATTTTTTTAGCAAAAACTGCTACTGCACAAAAAGGTTCATCTCCTTGGTTATCACTTGTTACAATATTCTGCTTTAAGTACTTCCAAGTGCAATTCACAATCCTTCATTTTTTATTCTATGTATGCTTAAAAAATGATATTTGCCAAACATTTTCTTTTCTTTTTTTCCTTAGTCAGGTGTCACAACAAACTTTATAATACAGTGTTTTCCAAGGATAACTTTTGGGATGGGAATTCCAGCTGAAGCCATTTCTACATTGATTCTCAGCACAGGTCTCTCTCCAACGTCAAAACTTTAATGTTGACTAATGTATGAGTGTTCAGTGAAGATTTTCTTCATTCATTACATTTAGAATGTTTTATACATGTGATTACTCATATTTATTTAATTCACATTGTTATCCGGTATAATGTTCAGCAAGAGGCTTTCTCTTCCTGAAGATTTTCCCACATTCTGCACATTTTTAAAGTTTCTCCCAAGATTGAATTTTCTTGTACAAATGAAAATGAGATATGCGACTGAAAGTTCTTCTACACTGCTTACATCTATAAGGGTTCTTCTCTCCCATGTGAATTCATGAATTCTCATGGGTACAAAGAAAAGTTAGTTCTATGGCTGAATTGTTGTTCATATTCATCACATTCATAGGGTTTCTCTTAAGTGTAAATCATTCATGTTAATGATGTGATGATTGAAAACCTTCCCACAGTGTTTCCATCCATATAAGAGCTGTTCCCCAGTATGTCTGTTCCCATACCCATTATATTCTCATACACATTACACTCAAATGTGAAATCTACGTTTTGTTGTTGTTGTTGTTAGGTGCCATTGAGTCATTTCCAATTCATAGCAACCCCATGCACAGCAGAAAGAAACACTGCCCGATACCACACCAGCTCCATGATCTATGCTATACTTGAGCCCATTGTCACAGCCATCATGTCAATCCATCTCGTCAAAGGCCTTCCCCTCTTTTGTTGACCCTCCACCTTACGAAGCATAACATCCTTCTCCAGGGAATGGTCCCCTCTAACAACATGACCAAAGTAGGTGAGATGAAGTCTGGCCATCCTCGCTTCCAAGGAGCATCTCGGCTGCACTTCCTCCAGGACAGATCTGTTAGTTCTTTTAGCAGTCCATGGTACCTTCAGCATTCTTCGCCAGCACCACAACTCAAAAGCA